CGTGCCTTTCTCTCTCTCTCTCTCTCTCTCTCTCTCTCTCTCTCTCTGCCCCTTCATCCCTTGTTACTTAAACACCCGTTTTCCATTTGCGACAGACGCCCTGACGAGCACGCATTAGCGATTTCAAAGGACAGACTCATTTGCAGAGAGCGATCGAACGTGCAGCGTGAGAGATGAAGTCGGAGGGTAAGGATTTGTCGAGAAGAAGAAGAAGAAGAAGAAGAAAGAGGAAGAGGCAGAAGAAGAAGAAGAAGAAAGGGATTTTCAGGGTGGCTCAGGCGTTATAACGAATTCTTTTCGAATTCCATTATCGTCGCACGCTCCAATTATTCCCGCCCGTTCGGAGGGAATGATTTATCTCCCCCTATTGTACGCCCTCCCTTTGATAGGAAGGCGCAGACTGTGGTCGTGTTTCGAATCAATTAACTTCGTGACGTCAGTCAATGCCACCATCCCCTCGCCTATTTGCGTGATCGGCCACCGTAGAAGGAGCTTATTGACTTATTAAGGCTCGCTTCTTGCGAGGAATTCGATTGACGGAGAACTCTCCTCCACCCCCTTGCCTCCGCGCCTTCTCAACAATCACCAAGAACCGGATCCCAACTTGTCACTCGTGAACTTCTCACGCCGAAAAATTTGCCGCCCAACTTTCGGGGGGAATTTGTTTCTCCATGAATACGCGATCGCGGATCGTTTCGCGAATTGGCGGATGTTGTAATTTGGTATTGTGTTTTATTTATTATAAGTTCTCCTTCTGAGTACTAACGTCCGATATATCGACACCTATTCGGGGGTTGTGGAACCCACTTCGGGAGCTGATTGCACGCCTAAAAATAATGTCCTATCTGTCTTCGTTTATGAGATATAATGAAACATTTTATAAACAGAGCAAACTCACTGTCCGGCCTCTCTCTTTCCATAGACCGCAATAGTTCGTAAGCATGAATTTGCACTGTTTACAAATAATACTTATTTGATTATATATATTATAATAATACTTATAATACTTATTTCGTATCTTTTGTTTTTTTGTACTTGGTTCCTGCAAATGTGTGAACGTGAAGAGAGTTTTCTATCTACCATACTTTTTTATATCTACCATACTGATGATGCTAGTTTTACCAGGGATGGTAAACATAGCATACATTCAATTTTCATAATAATCATAATTGGGATGAAGAAAACCCACCTGTTATTGTGCATTCAAGACATCAACACCAGTTCAGTTTAAACGTATGGGCAGGAATTGATAAATTTTTAATTGGACCTGTTTTTTCTTGATGGGAAATTAACAGGCACAAAGTACGTTGATTTTTTTCAGCACGCGTTTACACGAAATATCAGAGAAAGTTTCAGTCGATGTTAGATTATTCGTATGCGGTTTATGCATGATGATCCGTCGCATTTTAGCCGAGTGGCTAGGCAATTTTTCAATCCACACTTTGCAAATAAATGGATTGGTCGTGAAGGTCCTACTGCTCGTTCTCCGGATTTGAATCCATTAGATTTGAATCATAGAGAAACGGCAGTAACTTAGTGAATTTTCGTTACGTAAAATAATTATATCAAAAGAGTCCGAACGGGGATGAAAGTTGCCGCAGGGAATTCCCAAGAGAATTTATACCGCGATTCCTGCAGAAAAATGAGAATTTTTGTTACGCGAAAATGATTACATTAGGAAACTCGAAGCGCGGAGTTTAATATCCGGGGCGAATTAATTTTTCTACTTTTCGTAGCAGTGTAAACATCGTTTACAATCGATTAATTCGAAACCGCAGGCAGAGATGAAGCACGATCGAGGGGAACGAAATATCGATTGATAATCCTCGTCCCCGGGAAAAATCAGCGATATTGACTGAAAAGTGAAAGCACCGCGTAAATTTATTATTACCGAGTAAAAACCGAGCTTCTGTGCACGAGCCTCCTTCTTTCGTGTAAAAAAAACTTTCTCGAAATGCCACGTGGGCGCAATTTTAATTTTCCGCGTGGCGGCCGGCCGTTTGTCAATCGTTTATTAACATTTGCACCGGGAAATCGGCGTGAAAACACACGGGTGGAAATTTCGGTTGTAAAACCGACGGCGGAAAATATCGGTTGGCGATGGGTTGCGAGAACGTGCCTCGGTGTATAGCGTGCGCGCGCTTATCGGGCAAAACGGTTTCGTACGAAAGGAAATATTATTGCCCCGTGCATTATCGATAATTACTGTCGGCTCACTTACGGAATGGCCTTTAAAATGGAACTGACATTTATTAAACGGAATCGCGGGACCGCGGCAGCGGTTGCCACCGATCGATTACAGCCGTAATGAACGAACGCGAACGGCCGACAGAGAACGTAACGAAAGATCGGGAGAGCCCGCGTATATACACCACCATCCCTCCTCCATACCAAGCCACGGTTTATACTGCATTTGTGGAGTGGCTCGTCCGGGCCAACCCCCGGTTGTTATCCCGCTTCTAATTCGACTAGCTGTTAAATTATTACCGTACAATCGGCATTTCGTGGCCAGTTACCGTGGCTTGGCTTTTGTTACATCGTCCTCGTCATCCCGGACGCGGTGTACCTTTGCCATCTTTGTTGTCACATTCGCGGTGACTGGCCTCGCCTTCCATCAAACCTTCGGCGAACCTTGTCGTTTATTCATCCCCGCGATTATTCGTTCGCGCGAACTTAAAATAATCAACCGACTGTTCACCGGCTCTGGCTAAAGCAGCTTGCCAATCAGAGGACAGAAATACTTTTTTTTATCACCTTGCCAAGCAATTGTAACAGTTTCTTTTGTGTTCTTTACAGATTACGTGAGCGTTGGTTTTATATGTGCGCGAGTGTGAGTGTCGTTGGATGAGTGAGAATCTTTTGTCTCTAGTCTATACAGTCTATGGTGTAAATGTGATATGTGAGAGTCTCATCTGGCGATGTTCTAGAAGAATGTCCTAGAGAGTCAGAGAATCAGAACAGAGAGGTAAAGTAATATGAGAGTGAGATAAGAGAACTTTAGATTCATCATCTAAAATGATATTTCGTGTTTATTGAATGATTATGACTCTTGGGTAAGTATACTTTGTGTTTTTCGTGAAAAGACATTATTGTCACATTCTACCACCACAAATTATTGATTACATTTCATGAGAAGAGTAAAATTTTTGTGTCTGCAAATTAATAAATTGTTAGTTTCAACTTACTATCGTTTATCGCGAATCTGAATAATCCGCGAAGGAAGTATCCTGCAACAAACGTTCTTTTTTTTTTCAGTCAAATACAATTGGCTGCCAACTATAAAACGAGCTTGCACAGTGATCAGTCAGGATCAGTCAGGAGCCAATTATATTTATTCTCAGAAGCAGAAGTTTAATCCAAACGTATCTGCATTCGAAAAGCTGAAAAAAAAGAAAAAACACATCCACGCGGCAATTAAAAGAATCTCTTCGAAATCGTTCGAACAGTTCCGCGAATTAAAAAGCTCCTCCCTCCCAGGAATTTTAAATCACCGTGCGCGAGCGTGAACAAAATTTAATGACGTCGGCAACAGTCGGCCAGTGACTTGGCGCGCTCGAAAATGTCGAACAATTATTTTCTCCGAAGCGCTAATGAATCCGCGAATCGCCATCGTATCGCCGTTCGTGTTAACAAAGAAAATATTTATTAAAGGATTTCCGGAAAGCGGGGAAAAACCGTGAGGTCGGAACGCGATGAATTTATGATTTCAATCTACGAAGGCGAATGACCAGGCACGCCTCATTTGTATCTAATATTTTTCTTCCATCTAGTAGGGGGGCGAGGTGGAAGGGGAGGGGGGGGGGAGAGGGAGGGAACGGGCTGCACGTTAATAACCTGCACGATCGTATCGAAACGTCAGGAGATAATAATTGCCATCAGGAATGGCCGAACGAGAAAGGAGGGGGGAAACGCTGTGCGCTTTTCGAAATGGATCGGCCAATTACTCGCCAGTTCTTGTCTCTCACTCTCTCTCTCTCTCTCTCTCTCTCTTTTTTTTTCCCTCGATGTTTTCCTTTCATTTCCATTTCGAAAGCTTCTCTCTCTCTCTCTCTCTTGCGCGCGCGCGCTATTCTTCCGTTTGTCTTTCTCTCTCCGGTCGACAGAGTTGGCTCGCTCTTTTAACACGCTGTTCGAACGTCCACGTGCTGGTAATTGGAAATTTCGCGCATCTGACCCGGTTCGCATGTTCGCCACCGCGGGTTTAATCCGCGAAACGTGTGTACAAATCGCACGGAAGAAAAAACCGGAAACGCCAGTTGACCGAATGAACGAGCACCGTTCGAAACAGTTTTACAGGAGCAATTTGTACCCGGGGACTTCTACAGGCAAAACTATATTTAAAAGTCATTAGCGTGCGCGTTTTCTCTCGCTCTCTGTCGCTGTTCCTCCCCCCACTCCCCCCTCCCCGCAACTCTCTCTCTCTCTCTCTCTCGCTGCAGCCACCGAGGACCACCAGTGTTCTCCGCCATTTCCATTAAAAATATTGCGCGTTTGCAAAGTCCCTCCGTACACGCACGCAAACGCGTTTTCAAATGCGAAAATTAGCTTATCGTCGAAATATCTCCGCGAATCGACCGACCGGTTGGTTTTTCTCGGAACGACAAACACCGGCGAAATTAGTCGCCAACCATTCCCCTGTAATTTGAGTGCACCGGAGTCAAAAAACGTTTTGTAATCGCGCAGTCGTCGTTTGCTGAATTTCCTTGACGAGTTTCGATTGTTTCTCTCTTTTTTTTTTTTTTTTTTTTTTACGTTTTATCTAAACGTCGCATCTAAAGTGAACGTTCGAAGGTTTTACGGAATTTAGTGACTTTTATGGACATTCGTCTTCGATATTGGCGTTATCGGTGGCATTGAGGAGGTGCACGCAAATTGTAAATACGTTGAAACGCATTGCAGTACGAAAATTCATACTTTTGCCTATATTTTATGCGAAAGAACTGTAACGATAATTGTTTGATAACAGCTATCGTTGACATTGGTAGTTAAATAGTCGGAGAGACTGCATTGCTATCGCGGAATTGCATTAACGTTCCACTTGTGTTGCAGTTAAGGTGTACTTAAGGCGAACTTTGTTGAGCGTGACACAATCCTGCCGACAGTGAAAATAGATTAAAAATTCCATTACGGGTAAATATTTATTTACTTTAAAAATTGTCTACAAAATATCAAAGATACGTCTTGCGCTAATGCAAACTGAGTTATAAATTATTTTCTCGGCCGTGAAGAGAAAGATTTTCACCAAGTACCGAGGATATTTCGAAGCTGCAGTGTATAATGTCTCCTTTATTTTGCAAAGACAAAGAAATCAGAAAGCAATGGAAGACAGTTCAACGTCCATAGACAACGTTCAATATGGCTGTGTTCGAGTAACGTAAAAATGGATCTTGAGTCAACGTATCCTTGCGGCATTTGTCTGGGAAAGTCTTCCCTCTTGTCCTATTACTCGGGTCAAACAGTCGATTACTTTTACTGCGCGGTCGTTCATGCGATACGACGATTATAGTGATCCGTCGACCGTCATTTACGACTAGTAAATATAATTTTTTACGTGGAACAAATAGGATTGTCTCCCCAAGTACGACCAACAGCAAAAACTCCCTTCATTTAACACGAGGTAAGGTTCCATTCAAGCTGAAGATTTCGGTTTCTGGGGTCACCGATGATCCTGTGGATTTAATACGTTGGAAATCATTCTCAGAGATTTCTGAAATACCTTTTTCAAATACCTTTGACAAATGAGAGGGATTATATTCTGAGAAACTTCACGTTTTTGAAATCTTTCGATGATTGGCTTTTAAAGTTTCATCAATTATTGTCATAGCAAGAATATGTTATATATGCAACACCGACTGTTTCTCATAATTTTCGCCAAAGTGAAATCACACAAAGTTTGTCACGTATAAAAAAAAAAAAAGAAACAATCATTAAGTATGAAATTGTAGAAACTAATGAAATAAAAGTACTAAATATGTAAAAAGTATGAGTGTAAATTTAATAAATAATTAAACTTATTATAATAAACTTAATAAATATTTAAACTTATTATAATGCATTTTTCGACGGACAGTAGTCGCTGAAAATTATCTATACGATACTAGCCATCGGTTATCAACCCTGAGAATCGTGCAACGCTACAGTAACATTATCGATCATTCTATTTTCATTTGCTTTAGCAAGAAGATTTATCTCTTTTATAGCTGATTTAGAATCGTTGTTACGAATAAATTACTAATGTATTCTATAAACGAACAACGATAAAACTCAGAACATTCCCTGAGATTTTTATTTAACATCACTTACTTGTATTTCGTAGTCGCACGCTAACGACTATTTGAATATAAAGAAATTCCTCAACGGATAGATAACTTAATCAGTGGTGATAGCAACTACACACAGGTAAAATATTTGTATCATCGTCATTCGTTAGCGATTCGACAAATTTTTCTTTCACATTAACTTTTAAACATTTCCTGACTTTCGAGGTATTTGCATAGATACTTACAGCTTGGCAAATCTACAACTCGATCCAGTCTACCGGCATCCTACAATTAGCACTAATCTCGGTAACGCCTCCTCTTGAAGAAAGAAAGAAAAAAAAAAGAAGAAGAAAGGAGAGGATGGAATGGAAAAACGATAGGAAAGGGAAAGAACGAGAGGGAAAACGCGAGGGAATCAGGACCCAGGGCCGGTACAGGTTTCGGGGCGCGAACGCGCATCATTAATAATATCCCTGCCTCCTCGCGTCTCCATTTTACACCGCTGACAATGGACAACTGTGTAACAATAATGTTCCGGGTTCCCCGTGTATGACCACGAGGGGACGACGTGGCGTGGTGGTAACACTGTCCGTCCAGACAAAGATACAGCGTTTCGAATCGAAACGAGCGCGAGAGAGAGAGAGAGAGAGAGAGAGAGAGAGAGAGAGAGAGAGTGACGGGGATAGGGATAGAAGAAAGGGGTGGGCGGCTGGCATGGACCATCTACGACCGCGCCGCAGTCAAGTAATGAAATTTGACTGGAAATTAACCACCGTGGTGTACGCGCACACGTCGCTGCCGGTTTCGGAAGTGGCGCGTACACGTATCCGGTCGCGTGTGTTTGTGCGCCGCGTTCACCCCCCCCCACCCCCCCCGCCCCCTGCGATTCGAACCGCGGCGCGCATGCGCCCTTCGTCAAACAACGCCGAACCGCGGCACGGTCCGCACGTACAAGATATTACGAGAGTCGCGGCCCATCATCGGGGGAAAATAATGGCCAACCGTTTCGTGATAACGATGAGTTAGCGTTACACCTCGCTTGTGTATACGTATATCACGCGGCCACCCCTCCCCTCCCCTCCCCTCCCCCCATTCCCACCCTTTCCACAGCCGCGGTCCTGCCGATCATTGTCTCGTTCCCCTAGCTACCATTCACTCTCTCTCTCTCTCTTTCTCCTTTGCGCCGCGTTACGCTACTCTTTCGGGCTCATTGCGTTTCTACACACTCCCCGTTTTGTTTCCAACGTCCGGGCGTAAACGATCGGCGCGCATCACTCTCGCCGAATGGTTCTTACGGCGCGTCACGCTGCGTTGCAAATTAATTCGCATCACACGGCGGGACACTGCCAGGGATGTTCGGAAGACTCTCTTTTACTTTTCTTCGAGCAATCGGGGGGTTGAATGATCATCGAACTTCGCGATCGGGAAGAATAAAATGAATTTTGCGGTAGTTACCTCTCGCAGAAGTTCCATTGGATCCGGGTGCTTCTATAAAACCGATCAACGAAATAAAGTTGTAACAACAAGTTTGGAACGCGCGTGTATCGTTAAATGTACGCGACGCAGCGAAACGATATTAGCATGTAAGAAGAGACTAACGAGAACCCTCTGGCAAACTTTCCCAAACTTTGCGCGATTGTTATCAACTTCGAGAGGATACAATCAATTACGGTGAATAAGCACGATCCGTAGTCGCAGTTCGGTGACTGACTGGCTAATGTGTTTTCATCGCGAGCGAAACGATCAGTCCAGAGGCAAACACTGCGGGGAGAAAGGTTTCCTCGTCGAACGAGCGAAAGAAACAAAACGTGAAATCGACTGTATTTTAATAATTCCAAGAGGGGTGGGGGAGGGGCCGACTAATCGAATGGTTGTATAGGAGTTAACCGAAGCGAGCAACCAGGAAAAATGACGTGCGCACGTTAAAGCTACGTAATTATCGTTATTTACCGCGGATTGCGTGGTCCGGCACGCCACCACTAATCCGGCAGCAACAGTTGTTGAAACGACAGTAATAGTGGCGCGCGATCGATAGGCGGTTTATCGTGCAGTTTGAGCGGCGCCATGCATTATTGAAATACGAGCCGGCCAAAAGATTTCACGCGTAGGCTGCGAGAACGCATCGGACAAAACCTCAGCAATGTCGTTCCTTCGTACACGATGCCGATTTGTCAAAATGGGAACAATCTGAACTGATTGAAAATCCAATCGAAAGACGGATCGAAATATCACAATCGTCCTGAGAGAATTACAGTCCTTCTTTATTAACTCTCTACAACTTCACAAAAGAAGAGGCAATTTAATTCATTGCAATTACTTGTTCAGTTTAAAATTCAGGAGGTGACATAATTGTTGCAATCACTTGGTATTTTTGTACTGATAAAATACAATAGAAAGTAAATGCAATGAAGTGGACATACGAATGTGTAGGTAATTTTCAAGTTACACCATGGTTCTATTTATTATCGTTTAAAAATCGCAAGATAACAGATTCAATAAAAAGATCGCCAGATCGAAAGATAATCAGAATCTTTTAACCAACGACTATCGAGCATTGAGATAGTAGAATTGAATGCCAAATGATTATCTATCAAACGTAAGGAACACGACCAGCGAAACGGTAGTCGTACAATCTCTACGCTGGAACCTCGATATACGTCTAACTGAACGATAAGACCAGTTATCAGTGGACACTCAGTATCGGGGCTGATCGATCGGTCGCGACGGCTGTGGACAACGAGAGTTTCGCCACGGTTGACGGATTTTTGCCCGGAGCCATCTTATTACCGCGGATCGAATCGTGATATCGCGGCAATCTCGATCCAGCCGATCGGACGGTTCATTTCCACAGATAATTCGCCACGTCTCCGATCGGATTAGCCGCGAGACGGCCGATAACCAACTGATTGTGAGTGAGCTGTAAACTCTCTGACCTATCAAGTTGTTAAATCCTACGCGAATGATTTTATTCGTGAATGTTATTGTGTTTCTCTCGTGTTTTCTATAAACGTCGGACATGTTTATGTAGATGTAGGTGTACTATCAATGTTTTTTCAATATTATTAACATGTCTTCTTTATTAACAGCCAGGTTAAGTTGCAGTACGTATTTCATATTGGACGCATGCGCGTTGGACACACGCGCGCCAGCACATGCGCGTTAAGACATGTACACGTACAAGCGTCAAACATATTTACATTCGTAGACGCGCCTGCAGCTTATTAGGACGTTTAATCTAAAAATTAAATAAAAGTATAGTATCGCATACATGCATATTTTAGTAACATAAAACTAGTCAACAACGTCGTATCATCATAATCTCCGTCTCTATCATCATTCCCTCTTCTACTCTCCATATCATTTCCACCAACTACATCCTTCAGAAGCTACTGTAATCCAACATGTTTCACGCGCTCGCGGCAGGTTTGCTCGCGCAGGCGAATTATTCACCGGTAACCGGCTGAAACGAGTCGATCGCTCGTTTACATTTACGCCTCGTTTCGCGCGGCGGAAACTCCTCGCCCGTTCGTCTATTCGTTTTCTGCGAAGTCGTTGGAGCGATCGCCGGGGCCAGCCGAGCGGAGAACGGCGTAAAACTTGGCTAAAACTCGCCGGCGAACTTCGGCCAGGCCAATAAAAATCTCGAATAGCTTCCGAGCTTCGCGGCGGGGGGAGAAGGGCGGGGATAAAACGCGTCTGCGAATTCTTTTCGTTTCGCTTCTTCCTATTTCCTTTCGTTCTCGTTTGCTCTCGTTCGCTCGTTAGAAAGTACGCTTCCACTTTCTTTGCACGAACGATTCCCCGCTAAGTTTTGCCGCGCCGCCAGAAATTATCCGACGGATATTTCGGTTTCCGGCCACTTCCGAGTTTTCCCCTTTGAGGAAAGACGAAGTCGTTGTTTCGAGATTCCGTTGAAACGTAACTGTTACCGCGCGTTTACAATCGATCGGTTGATTGGATCCTCGTACGAGGAAGCAGCTGGATTTCGTGAAACTCTTCTCTCCGTTTCGTCGCGGACGTTGATTTTGGAAAGAGCTTCATTGCAGTCTATACTGGGAATTTCAATTTTATTTGCTGCGCCTATTCCGAGCGAGCGTAATGTATTTCTAATTCTAGATTTACTACGATCGATCTCCTCGTAGCAGATTCTTCGTTACGGATAACCATATTGGCATCAAATACCATTTACTAGTGGCCATAATTTACTACTACCAATTTACCATGTAGCTCGTAACTTGAACACGTTGGTGCTTCATTAGTATTCGAAGTGGTATTCAAGAATATTCATCAGTTTGTCGACGAAAAAAATTTCGCTGCAAGTATACTAAGAATAGATCACGCGTGTCTGAATAATAGTTGCGGCCTTGCGTTTAAACGTTTCTTTAGAGGGCTTCTGAAATAAAATTCGAAGTTGAACGGTAAGGAAAGAGAAACAGGACGAGCGTTAATATAACCGGCGTTTACGTTCAATTGTGGAGCAGTGACGCCCCCGAAGACGCCGCTCTTAAACGGCGAGCGATATATATTTACATACATCGATCGACGAAACGAAGCGCCGCGATACCCATCCACGCCGCGCTGCACCGAGGATCAAGAAAAGTGGTCGATCCCCTGTCACGGACTCGGCCGATGAAAATTACTTTCCGATAATCCCCGAGTTTTTGATCCCGGTAAATATGGATTAACCCAATT